GAGCAAGAAAAGGCCAAACTCTGCAGCTGGGCCTAACATCAACCATCCCTTGTGAGTACCAGGAAGGAAACCTACAGGCAGAGCCCTGGAGAACATGAGCATTTGTGGGGTCTGTGGAGGGAAACCAAATGCAAATTACATTTTAAAGAAAGCATTTAGCTAAAATTAGCACCCATAGCACCATTGGTGTCATGTGGGCTGTGACAGGAGGCACGGCTAATTGCAAGCGAGTTTCCGCCCCTCTTGATTATTGTGGTGACACACAGATCATTAACATGATGCTCCAAACATGAAACAAATTGTTTAAATATTAAACTGCCAACTCCTTCTGCTGATCTCCAGATCACTGCCTAAAATAGTGGATGTGTGTGTAAAAGATGAGTTTGGGGCTCTGCAGCTGCCTGACACCACCCTGGTCCCTGTCAGTGCGGTGACTGCACCAGAAGGCTGCAAAATGGCATTTTCTGAGATCTGTTTTGATTGAAGATGTATTTAATACCTGGTCACTGCACTTATGCAGGCCTCCAAAGCAACTAGGCCTACTCACAGACTTCAAGCATCCAAAGCAGGATAACTAGGTGACCTTTCAGAGCCCCTTCCAACTCTAACGATTCTACAACAAATAGGAAAGCAGAGAGATCATTGGCCAAGACCTGCCCTCATCGCTGTGGATCTGAGTGGAAACCTGTGGGCAAACAAAGACAATAACAGAGCCTTTTCCTGGGATGCAAGTGCTATAGAACAGAACAACAAAATAAGAACTGACTCACCCCTTCCAATGACCAGCAACAGCTCAAAAGGAGCACAGCCACAAAGAGATGCCACTCCCCCAGCTTTTAGTCCTTAAATGAGTGAGAGGAGGGGTGGATCTAAGCTCCAGCCATATCAATCACTCAGATGCATTGCTTGCACCTGAGCTCCCTGGGTTAGCCACAGTTGGTGCTCAGCCATTGATTTGGACCCTGACCTGGCAATTCCACTGCAGAGCCATGCAGCTGCCACGTACAGCCCTCCTGACACAAAAGGGGCATTGGACCAACGTGCAAACTGTATGCTGTTTTCCTATTAGTCCTTACACCACAAAACAACACAAACATCCTCTGGATGCTCAAAATGTGGTAACGGTTGGATATTAGGAAGAATTTCTTCTCAGTAAGAGCGGTGATGCATTAGCACAGGCTGCCCAGGGAGGAGGTGGGATGTGTTAAAGGAAAGAGTAGACATGGCACTGAGGGTCTTGGCCTAGTGGGCAGTATTGGTGGTAGGAAGGAGGTTGGACGTTAGAGGTCTTTTCCAACCATTGGAAGACTATTAATGGTCATTTCCAACCATTAACTCCAACATAGAATTAATGATTCTATGATCCTAAGATTCTGAGATTATGGAAATTATTTCGCAGGAGAGCAGTGCTGCTGGGAGAAAAATACAGACTCATTAATGACATCCAGCCAAAGGATTATCAAAGGCAATGAACCCAGGGCACTTATTTAGGAAACTGTTCAAGGAGACTCTAACATTTGAATTCGTGGTTTCCTTCCTGCGTAATACAAGAGAGCACAGGAAAGCAGCCCTTGAATTCGCAGGTCATAACCCTATCTACTGAACAGCTTGAGTAGGATCAATTTAAAATGAGTCTCGGTGCTCTTCTGCTTTTCCCAAGAGCACAGAAAAATTAATCCACCACTGAAGTTTCTCACTGTCTCAAACTGGAAAATACAAGTTTGTGCCAATAATTATTTTGACAGCCATCACATGTGCCTGTTGTGAAGGATTGGCACAGACAGTTTCCAATACGACGTGAATGGCTAATTAGAATGCATTACACAGCCAGTCCCTACAGTTCTCTGTTCTGTAAGAAAATCTGCATTTCTGAAGAGAGCCTTATATTTGATACACAGGGACAATGTTGCGTATAGATTTCCATTGTGCCACACCATACCCATTTGTACCAAAGCATTTTCTTCCATAGCTCACCAAATATAGCAGCTTTCTTCAGCATGGGAACAAGACTCAGAAGAGGCTTTGTCCTAGTTCTCCTTAGAGACAAGCAGGTACAAAAATACCAAGCAATAGTAGCAGGAGCGTTAGAGGTTACCTAAGGAATTTCGTACAATGCTACTTTGACAGAGTTGTCTCAAATATTACCTGCTGTCAGTGTGATATCTAGAGGGTAAGTAAATCTGTTTCTCACACAGACTTGCCAAAACTGGACTCAGAATGAGTTAGAAGCTTTTGAATAGTGCTCTGATTTCTAAGTCACGTAAGCATTTGCAATTTTACCCAGAATCAGGTTGCACATGCAGACTGGTTTCAAGCAGCACGAACATATTCAAATTCTTCTGTGCTGGAGGTATTAATCCACATAAGGATATTCAATTACTATCAGAGCAAACTGTTCGACTGCACCAGAATCAGATAAAAATATGCAAAGCAGGTGGCTTGAGGCTCATTTATACCGAAATTCCTTCGGCTGTTTGAAGAGACTTTGTAATGTCAGCATACTCCCACCTGAGTACATTCTTTATTGTGAGCAGAGTAAAGTGGCCTTCTTGTACGTGAATGCTGGATCTGAATATGTTCACTTCAAGGATACAGGGTTCTTGTTTCAAGATAAAAATGAACGAATAGGTAAAATAACCTAATTATTTCCTTTCTTTCAAGGACTCATGGAACTTATACAGTGAGAATCTGTGAAAAATAGATGGAAACCTGGATTCTACTTTCTAATTTTCTCCTGCTCATCTTTTATCCTTTCTTTCTTGTTCTTCCTCAACTCCATATTATCATTCCTGCTGTCTTTATCAGCATTATTGCTTTTGTTGGCCTCCAGTTCAGAGGCCTCCACCCCAGCACCATTTTATTTCTCCAGATGCAGAGCAGGGTTTTAGGACAGAATCTCATCCTTTGGGAGTCCACAGAGATGCATGGAAAAAAAAAAATAGAAAAGAAAAAAAAGCAGATAAGAACAGTAAGTCTATAAATCTCCACGTCTATAAATCTTAAAATGGATTACTGATTACAGTGACTCTTTAATGGAAAGAGTGACAGCTCATATAGACAAAAGGCAGTGTAATTCATGGAGGCTATTAAATTTGAGAGGCCTTTTCATTCTCATTTGTCTTTTGATGTTATGTGTCGATTTCTGGGAGATTATTCTCTGGAGAGGATGAGCCCTACTCATCAGAGCCTGAAAAGTGCCTGTGTTTATTTGTCTGCTATTTGCCATGGTAGGCAGTATGTTTGCCCCTCCTCCACCAGGGTGGACTACCCACAGTGCTAGTGAAGGCTATGAAAAGGCACCCATCTGTCCTGCCCTGCTTGTCATTTGTGAGATCATGCTGGTTGCACCCACTGGCTTTGGGGTTAAAAGGGGCCAAAACCCCATCACAGGGCAGCAGGACAGATGCAGCCAATTTCTCCATGTCTGTGATCATCTGGAGTGTGCTGTGCCCAGACTCTTCTCCTAGCACGGCACAAACATCATAGGAAAGGAATCACCCTTATGGCATGGGCGGTGCTTTGTTCGAGGGGCTCCTCTGCCAGTGGGTTTGCAATGGAACCAAGGTCTTGGATAATGGTCATGGATGGACCATTCTGTGATCAAGGAACTGGTGGTGAGATGGTACCTAGAGAGTAGTGCTCAATGGCTCAGTGTTCAGATGGAGATCAGCGATGAGTGGAGTCCTTTGGGAGTCGTTACTGGGACAAATACTCTTTAACATCTTCGTCAGTGACATCAACAGTGGGATTGAGCACACTCACAGCAAGTTTGTGGGTGACACCAAGCTGTGTGTTGTGGTCAAGGGACAGAATGCCACCCAGAGATCTAGACAGGCCTCTGAGAGTGGCCTTTCAGTACCTAAAGGGGCTGTAAGAAAGAGAAGGCCAGACTCTTTAGCGGGGTCTGTTGTGATAGGACAAGAGAAATGGTTTCAAACTAAAAGAGGGGAGATTGAGATTGGGTGTAAGGAAAAGCTTTTGGTGATAAAGGTGGTGAAGCACTGGAAAAAACTGCCCAAGGAAGTTGTGGATGCCCCATCTCTGGATGGGGTCCTGGGCAGCCTGATCTAGTGATTGGCAACTCTGTCCATGATAGGGGTTATCTCTAAGATCCCTTCCAATCTAAGCCATTCTATGATCCTGTGATTCTATGAGACTTTGAGCTGCTACTGACCAGCAAAAAGAGTCTGTTTTTTAAATGCTCATACATCAGAGTAAGAGTGCAGAATAGCAAGTGGGCACTGGGGGAGTTCACATCCCAAAGCACTCCCTTTGCCAAGGTTGCGTTCCTTCATTTTGATCACAGATTACAGAGCTACAGTGCAATGGTTTCCCATGGGAAACCAGAGGCCAGTGGAGTTTCATCAGGAAACAAGTTACTGCTGGGGCTGGGAGCAGCATGGTTTCACTCCACAGCACAGGAGGATTTACTGTAGCACAAACCCTTCATGCAGGTGATTGACTGCTCCTGCTACCTGCAACAGCCCAGAATCTGCTGCCTTTGTGTCCTTACTGTTAGTCCAATTGTTCATTCACGGACCAAGACACTCCCAGCGCATCCAATTCCAGCCTGGGTAAGTGGCTGCGATCCTCATCAAAAATCAATTGACTGAAGTCATACCACATCTCCAGTTGCTGAGGACAGGCAAACCCACATTGCTCATGAGAAGACCAGTGGTGCAGAACATCACTTAGTGCTTGCAGCTGCTTTATGGCAACAGAAGTGGAAGAGAAGATGCAGAGACATGAGGAGCAGGATCCTGTGGTACTTGGGAGTCCTGAACATGTGGATGGGAAGTAACTTTGAGAGGGGGTCTGTTCCTTGACCATGTGTTGAAAATGTCCATTCAGTTTTGGAGGAAAGCATTGTCTGTTTACTTATTTATGCAGCTAAAAAGACTAAGGACATTGCTGTCAACTGCCAGGGCTCTGAATCCATACTCTGTCACTGTAATCAGGTGCTCTAGTGCTCTAAATTACTAGCTAGCTGCACTTAGCCCTGGTTGACCATTGCAGCAACCCCTCAGAAACAAAGACACGCACTTTTCCAGGTGCGTATGCAGCCCATGTTAGTTTTGGGGACCTAAAATTGCTGCCTTTCCCTCTAAAGAGAGGGAGGATTGCTCTCAGGCTCCTCACTGCTGCCTAGAACCTTTGTCGCAATGCCCCATTGCATCTGGCAGCCTCACTGTTGTTTTGGGGATGAGTCACAGGAGACCGAGCTATCTGGCCCCAAAGGCTCAGTTTCGGCGCTGAGTCACTGCAAAGACATTCTGGGCAGCTCAGGGCTGTGTTTGTGTTACGCCTCCTGTTTTACAAAGGACTTCTGCTTATTTTTGCTCACCTAAAAGGTTGTGCATCCACGTGTATTTCTTAACTGGTGTTCCTCCAGCACGTCTGGCTGAGGATGGTGTGGCCGCTTTGTGGTTCTCACTATGGAACATGAGGCCTTCGTTGTGGTGCATCACCCTCATCCTCATCGTGGCTGCCTCCAGCCTGGCTCTGACTCCAAGGCAGATTCCACTTCTTTCTTTTTTTTCCCTTCAAATAAAACCAATATTGCTATTTGTATGTATTATTTATGCGATGGAAAACATTGAGAGGAAGAAGTGGGAAAAATTATCTTGTTCCTTCTAGAATCCGCAAGCAGCTGAAAGACAAAGAATATAGAATTAACAAAAGAAAAAAAAAAATAACAACAAAACCAACCTCAGCTAATTTTGGAAAGTTTCATCTTCACAAGATCCACTCATTTCACAGCTAATTCTTTGTAAACCGTTATCCCTTTTGTTCCAAGTTTGGTATAGTTTTACGTCAAGCCAAGTTCAATGAAAGAAAAAAAGGGAGAGAGGGTTTGAATTATTCCCCATCTCCTCATCCCACAAGAAAAACTTGGGTTTGAAGATCACATTTTAATATGCAAGAATCCAGCCAAGGACGCCCTTGCTAATCTTTCAAAATGCAGCGCTGTGCTCCTTCAAAGTATTGAAAGCTGCTTGGATTGTGATAGAATGCATAACCCTGTATTAAACTTCTAATGGCTAACGAGACAGAATTTGGTTATGAAGGCTGAAATATAGAAAATATAAATCAGTAGTGCGCAACGAACACTCATCCTCTGTTATTTTCATTAAATCAGTTTTAAACTAACTTTACCATTTGTCTTTCATGATATTTTCATTACTTTCCCATCCGTTGAGGACAAGCTGGAACAGTTTTATAGTTCATTTCTCTAATCTTCACTGTGGGTTATTCAAGCAACAGAGTGTGATGTTTTACCTCCAGTCCAAGCCAGAGTTTTGGACTGAGCTACCCTGTTGTGCCTTACTGGTAGGTAGGTGGAAGGACAGAATATGCACCTCGAAAACCAGATAACTCCTATTCAGCATCATTCACTGGAGCAAATCATGAGGATAATAGAAGCGGCTTTTGTTGTTCCTATTTCCCACTAGACAGTTACACAGACACTAGCTTGGTGTGGTCTCTGTTCTCCTGTATGAGCACTCTGGATGTCCCTCAGGATCCTGCCCCACTCTAACAAAGGGAAGGCTGAAGCCCTGTGCATCCCCTGGAATTTCAGTGGCTAAAGGCTTCTTACTCATTTGTGCTTTCTCTTAAATGGAGTCTGTCTTGTGTGAATAAACCAGCAAGGGTTGGATCAGTGGTATCAGTGGGATTTCTGACTTTGGCTAAACATAAAGCTTTAATTTTGTTAATGCACACCTACAGAACCCCTCACAACCACAGCCAGAAAACATCTGAAGGACAATAACAGGGTTTATGTGAATCAGCTGTACAGTTATTTGTGGGGATTACACTGTAGCTGTGCTGGAAATAATGGTAATTCTCCAGTAATTCACATCAACAGTGTGATGCTGTTCCCCAGCCACTCTACTCGTGCTCTGCCACAGCCCAGGAGTGGAGCAGGCAGGACACAGTGCTGAAGCAATCAGTGAGCTCCTGAGGGCTTCACACTGTAGCAATGGGAACATCACCAAGGTAGACAAGGCCTGTGCTGCTCTGCAATCTGTTTGACCAGGAATAAATCATTGTTTTTTCAATCTCGGCAGCCTGTTTCGCATAATTCCTTGAGAGATAAAAATTAAATATCACTGCATTAGAAGCTGTATGTCCTAAGTAGGGAACAAACTCATAACCATGTAGCCATCACATTAAACAAACGAGCTGCTCATTAAAAATAGATGCAAAAGATTCAATTAGATCCGATGCTGTATTAGGAGTCTTGAGGACATGCTGGCTTTCTTTCCATTGGTTTTAGGCAATAATGAAACAGCTTTTAGTAGTGACCCAAGAGGAATACGTTTCTTTTTTAAATACTTATTTCCTTCCTAATCTTGAAACTACTGTTAAGCACCTTTTCCATTAAGCAAAGAGGGGAAAAAAAACCAAACCATTTCAGCTGGGTTTGGAGGCATAGAAGAGTAAGGGAACCCAATCTTTCTTCTGTGCATCACATAACTCAGAGCAACGTAATAGAGAATCAGATCTCTGTAAAGATTATTGAAGACACAGAATTTCTTTCAGCCATTATCTCTCTCCTCTGTGTGCACAGAGCACTGGAGGAGCCCCAGTACTGTGACAGGAGCACTGCCTTTACTGTGCCCTGTAAGCCAGGCACCATCTGAACTCAGATGGCTGTGGCTTTGCTTTAAGCTTTGCAACTGATCCTCCTCTCACAGCTGGTTCTGCTGAGAACCCCTCTGTGGCTCTGCCTCTCACGTTTTGGAAGCAAGTTTTGCCATGAGCCGAGGCTAGATGCTTGTTCTCCTTCCTCCTGAAGTGCTGCCCAGGAGACAGGGCTGTAAATTACAGCTCCCTCTGAATCCATCACCCGCAAATGCAAGGGAATCCTTGCAAACACTGACACAAAATCAGCTTTGCTTTTCCCCTGAATCTCACCTAGCTTGCAATACAGACACCATCTGCATTTCGTTATGCATGGGCAGACTATCCAGATGCAAATGAACTGTGCTACACCATAAAACGTTTTCATTCCTGTCTTTGACCTTTTCCTACCTCGTAGCTCCAGTTTTTACTAAGACTAATGCAGAAAAATATTTAACTATCTGATTTAACAGTGGCTTTGTTCAACGGTGCTCCACTCCATTTGAGATTGTCCTGCTCCCTCCCCATGGTCTGCATAACCACAAGTTAACTGAGTACAGTGAGGAAAGACGAATCAAAACCGATCAAACAGCCTGATGTAGCGTCTGCCGTGGATGGCAAAACAGATCAGATTGATTGGGCATTTGTCTCTGGAACAGAGGGTGGTTTTGATGTATGTGCATAATTTGGAAGAGAATTTGCTTCTCCTTAGAACTGCTGCATTTGATGCTGCATAATTAAGAATTCCATCACCAGTCTGAAAAGCACCCTTTGGTTTACACTGGGGCTCAGCTACATGGAGAACTCACACTCTGGACACAATGTGTTTTGGAACCTTAAGAATCGCTGCTGCCCTGCGGCTGGGAGCTCACCATTATATCATATATCATTATAGTGGCCAATTTCTTGACAGCACCTTGCAGACCAGTGTATTCTAGCAAAAGGCATGAAAAGTCATCCAACTAACATCCAACTAAAAGGAATACAAAAAAGGGAATATTTGAGGTATCTTTTCCACCACATTTCAGCTCTTGCTGCTGTGTCCAGCTGATAGCTGTCTCTTTCTTGCCAGGTGTAGCACAGAGTGGGGATTAGCTTTGCAACGCCGCTCTCACTGATCAGGAGACAGCAGTGAGAACAGGGGCTCATCTGTCCAGTCCAGTGCTCCCTGTGTTTTTCTCATTCTCATGGAGACACCAAATCCTTCAGGAGAGGAATAGATGTCAGTTTTGCCTGTAGCACATACAACCCTGTCTTCAGGAAGAGAACTGCAGGCTGGGAAGCAGAGGATCAGCAGCCACTGCTGAAACTTGCAGGACATATCTTTTGCTCATGTACTTTTCCTTAGCCAGTTCATTTCCACCCCTAAATGAGTCATAGTTCATAGAAGATCATAGAATGGCCTGGGTTGGAAAGGACCACAATGATCATCCAGTTTCAACCCCCTGCTACATGCAGGGTCGCCAACCACCAGACCAGGCTGCCCAGAGCCACATCCAGCCTGGCCTTGAATGCCTCCAGGGATGGAGCATCCACAGCCTCCTTGGGCAAGGATATGTGAGAGAGAGCTGGGAAATCAAGAGAAACTATTGCATTTCAATGATCTTGTATCTCGGGCTAATTTAAACAAAAATTTTAACCTGGTCTCCTAAATTCCAAGTAAGTTCCTTATGTGCTATTTTACTGACCTCTCCAGGAATGCTTTGCCTTGGAGAGAATTTGTCTGTACATTTCTTCTGATAAGAGGAAAGCTGTAACCACCATCACTGAGCCAGCTAGTACCTCCCTTCGCATGACTCTGTTTTGTAAGCTCTTAACTGGAGAAAATAATATGCAAAAGGTTTTTTGCCCCCCCCCCCCCCCCCCCACTTACAATGCCTTCCATTCCTCATTGGCTGAATTTATTTCATCCATAAAACAAGAGTCTCAAAGGATCCCAGCCGTCTGTGCATGGGGTGGGTTGATTTGTATTCTGCCACTGTTTTCTGGAAGATAACAAATACAGGAGAACATAAATCCTGATTATATTTTTTCCCCCCCTTTCTTTATCTGCCCTCCCGTTCTCTGTTGTGCCACAACTGCTAATGGCATCCTGTTTTAGTGGTGGTTGTAATGAGATAAGGCTGTGAATAGTCTTTTTGCACCTGTTGCACCCATACAGATGCTGTCTGCAGGCTTCGCTCCTCCCCTCCTGCTCCTGAGCCGAATTAATTTACCTCACAATTACAGACCTGTAGTCACAAATCCATTGGGTCAGGGAGATATGTAGAGCAGTGATGTAGTCCACTCACCCCTCTGTATACACTCACACTGTTATTGCTCCCTTGTCTCCCTTCTTCCTGCTTTCGAAAAAGGACAAATGCTCCGTTCTTTGACTTCGGTTCCAGATCATTCACTACAGTCACTGTGTGTAACCAAGTTTAATTATTTATAAAGGTGAGACTTTCTGTACTTGTAATAAATTTCTCTACTCATAAAAAGCCAGGGATTCATAATACCCAATCCTAAATTATTTATCAGCCAGAAAGACTGCAGGATCCACAATGCCAGGGTGTTCCCAAGCACCTCAGCTTCCCAGAAGGGTTATCTCCACTGGGTTGGGAAGGGATTTGACCTTGCTTTTTCTTCTCCCTTGAGCTTTCTTGACAGAGGAATGCAGTGGCATCATTCAAGCACAGATGAGTCTTTGACAATTACACACTAAGAAAGTACGGAGGCATTGAAACTCAGGAGCTGGATATCTGACCCTCACCAATCAAACAGAAAGAGCAGAAGTGCCCATCAGAGGCACAGCAGGGCTGCAAAGGGCAGTACGTTCTACACCCACTCACATATGGCCCCAAAGCAGACTTTATTGGTGCAGTCACCTCAGCACATCTGTCCCCACCTCAGCTGTGGTAACAGTGACACAGAGCAGAGCTTTTGCCCATGCTAAACCTGTGCCTTCATTCCCTGGACAAAATGGCAAAATACAATTTTCCACCTGCACCAGAAAGGCAGAATGGGAAGAAAAAAAACAAGAAAAAAATTCCATTTGTTAGGTGAGCCTGAAAGCACGTTCATAACTACTGCTCACCAACAGAAGCATTTTGGGGAAAAAGTTCTCCAGAGCAAAGCAGGCATCAGCACAGATGATACAATGCGGAAAAATCAAGGGCAGGAAGTTTTTCCCAGATCTGTACTTTTATAAGGAACAGAGATTGTTTGGTTTGTTTTCAAGATGAAAGAACTAAGAAAAAGAAGAACATGCAGCTCCTTCCATCATGGAATACATACAGTGGCAGAATGCTGCATGCCTTGTGTCAAAGGATCCGTAGCATTGATTTCTTGAAACGAGAAATAAGTTTAGGGTGGAGTGCTTGGGAAAAGATAAATCAATAGAATTTGAAGTGACTGAATATAACTATCAACTGTAATGGCAGCAGTCAAAAAGCCTTATCCAGTTCCGTAACATTTTGTTGTCCGTACCTTTATTTTCATTAGAACTGTCATAGATGCAACTCTGATCTTACTTTACCAATCTGTCTGAAATTAGACTAAAATTAGCGCAGCTCAAAAACACCCATTTTCATTCCTCAGGATGCTTGGAGGCAAAAAGCAAAAAACAAAGAAAACCAAAAACCCACACACAAAAAAACCCCCCACAAAGTAGAAGTGCTTGCAATGCAAATTAGGATTCTAAAACCCAACCAACTAGGAAAAATATTTTCATATACCTACAGAGGTTCCAGAAGCAGCCCTACCTTCCAGCACCCAAAACATCTCCCAGGCCACCAACTACAAGACCAGAACATAGAAACCCAGCCCTTTCTGAAACTCATTTTATTGTTTTTCCCTCCTCATCCCCACATGAATTGAATTATCTGTAATCAAGAAGCACTCAGCCCACATGTGTCTGAGGGCTGCAGCTGCTTGGGGCAGATTCTCCCCATCCCTCTGACTCATGGTTTGGGACTTTCACCTCAGCCTTGCCTATCATCACCACCATCACTAGTACCATAGTGGGGCTTGCGTGCTCCTCTCTGCCTCCCAGTTAGTAAGAGCCTGTTTGGATGGTATTTGCTACCTGGTTGGCCCCAAATACTTTTTTGCTGTTGGCAACCAAGCGTGGTTTCTGGCTGACCTTCTGGAGGCTGCAGGCTCTTTGTTTAGATACTGCCTTGCACACCTACAGCCTGCGATGGTTGGAGAGCTGGGGTGTTGATATCACTGTTTTGCACTCTTACCCAAACCTTATTATTTTTCTCTGTTCCCCTGCCTGTCTGTCCACGCTGACCCGCTATGAGCTGTGTTATCCTGGGGGAGAGTTGTTTTCTAGCAGAACGTAGGAGGGAGAGAGGCCTCAGTCTTTTGTGTCTCCTGGGAGTCACTCCCAGCAGTGAGAGCCAGTGACATCTGCAAAGCTGCCATAGTCCTACTCCATCTTTGCATTACTCACCCAAAGAGCCAGTACCTGAGGCTCCCTGAATCCCAGGGCATGTATATTGAAACACCAGAAGCTGTTGGCCAGCAGAAGGTGGCTAAAGCCTTTTGGCCACCACAAGTCATTGTGTTCAGCATCCGGGCCATACCCGTGGCCAAGACTCATATGCATAGACAGCAGTCTCAGAGTCTGAGGTGTCCTTGTCTGGGCTGTCCTCAGAGGCCTTGTATCAGTATCTAGAGGATCAGTGCTCCTCTCACAATAAGCATTTTGGTCTCTCTTGTTCCAGACAACAACATTGAATTTGCAGAGCACTTAACTGAGGGCAAAAGCTCCCAGGAAATACTGACTTGCATTAAAAAAACAAAACAAAACAAAAAAAGACTCAGAAGAAGAAGCTCAATGGCAAGTTGATCTTTCTTAAAGTCTTTTGAACTTCTGAGGTCTCCAAGTGCTTGATTTACTTTGTGGTTCAGATGCCAGCTCAGGCAGATTATTTTTGAGACTTGTTCTCTTGTCCCAGGTTTTGCCCTTGATCTTCAGGAGCACCTTGGCTTCCACTGCTGAGCTTCTTTGGGAATGTGCAGGCTCACGCTCAGCTGCAAAGAAAGCAAGAGCAGCCTCCCCCAAAGCACTGGAGTTGATTTACAGGAGAAGGACCAATTTTTCCTTTATCACTTCTACTGTTGCAGAGAGATGAATTCTCCGTGGCATAATAGCAGAACAAAAATAGATTGCTTCTGTAATACACTACACAACAGCCTGGAATGCATCAGCCATTTTCCTCAACCATTCTTTGACAAATGAAATTTTATCTAGCTGAGTTTATCATATCATTTTCCTTTTCCCTTTTCCTCCATTTCCCCAAAGTTCTATAAGTGCCCAAAGGGTGCTTCATAGTAGTACGACTGTTAAGGTCATGCATATCTTTTTAACTTGGACATGCTTCCAACTTACCAAACCTGCCTTGCCAATGCTGTTGCGATGCTGCGACTGGAGATATACAGAGTGCTTCGGTGAGGTGGATGGATAGGTTGCCATTTATGACTCTGTTGATCAGCAACAGCGATAGGGTACTTGTGATCTGGGTCAGGTATCGGCCACATTTCTATTTATTTTGGGCTGGTTTTGTTTTCACTGATGACTCACAGTCATTTCTGCACTAAAGTTCCCAATCTATTTGGTCTTGAGGCAAGAACAGTATTAGGGAAATGCCCTTTTCTACAGAAAACCTTGTAATTAAAACAACTGCTTGGCTCTGCACTATTGAGGGTAAACAACTCTGAAGGGAGCATTTGCTTTATCAATGTGTAGAGGAAAAGCAATAAAAGATCACAGTGGCTATAAATGGATGTAGAAGTGAAATTCCTATTTTGCACCATCTTCAAAAAGCAAAATCTTTTTTCAAAAACGTAATACTTTTTGGCAAACACATTTCAGCCTCTGGGGAGAAGCCATTCCCTTCCCTCAGGGTGAAATATCTTCTTCCACATGAGTGCTTTATGGTTTTGCCCTAGCACCTCAGCACGGTGGTTCTGTAGGGATATTGAATGAGACCAGCAGGGAAGGCAGTTCTTCCATATATTGTGATTCTGTGTCAAATGTATGTTTTTACCTTTTTTTTTTTTTGCTTTTGCACCCATGGATGTTCTCAGTGTTTTGTGCTGCTGGCTGCAGGGCTGCTAATTCCAACATCAACATGCCAACATTCAGATTGGATGTTAGGAAACATTTCTTTTCTGAAAGAGAGGTGATGCAGCGGCACAGGCTGCCCAGGGAGGTGGTAGAGTCACCATTCCTGTTCAGAAACTTTTGGGATATGGCACTGAGGGATGTGGTCAGTAGGCATAGAAGGGGTGGGTCGATGTTTGGATTTGATGATCTTAGAGATCTTCTCCAACATTAATGATTCCATGATTCTGTCTCAACCCTGCACCCAAGACCAGACAGAATCCCAGGGGACAGCCCCCATGGGGGCACATGGGGCATGCAACCATGCAACGACATTATCCCAACTGGGCACAGCCATGCAGAGCTGCTCGTGGGGAGCTGGTGGCTTTTGTCAAGACCAAAAAGCTGCAAAACAAAGCAACTGATGGATTTTGGCATCACTGCAGGGAATTCTTGGACTCTGTCAAGCACATTGGGTGAGGATGCCAGGCTTCAGATGCAGGGGGTGAACTCTGCAGATGGCAGGCATAGTTTGTGAGCTCACTTTTGTACCTCGAGGCCCACTGGGCAGGATTGATTGTACCTCTCAGAAAGCGGCATTTGCAGATGTTATTGATGTGGGATTGGTGCAATCCACAGCCCGTGCTGTTGATGTAGAGAAATACCACAGATGACATCATTTTTTTAAAAACCCCTCCGCCAAAATCTTTTAAAACAAAACTTGCCATTTCTTTTCACATTGATCCTCCCTCCCTGCTATCGATTTTCCCTTTCCCATTACTGATGCGATGCGCCATGCCAGCATATTGCAAGCCAACTTGATGGAAGGAAATAGCTTCCAGAAATCCTGTTAGCGAGTGGTGGGGGGAACCTTGCTTTGCTCGTTTTGATGTTGCTTTTGTTCTACTCTTGCTGCTCTATTTAACATCAAAATAAGAGGGCTGTTAGACTGGCTACAAAGTCCCCACTAGCCATAAGGAGAAGTTGGTGCTGTATTTAAGTGATGGCTGCGCCATAAGAATGGATCAATAAATGCTTTGAACAGAAAGTTTGGTTTGAGTTCAGCCCCACAGCCTGACCTGAGCTGGAGCTGAGGAGATATTTCAGAACCTGAGAGATGCATTTCTAGGAGGACAAGGAGGAAGAGGACTGCTGGATAATGCAGAAGAAAACTTGAGACCTTCAAGGTGTCAGGAACAGGACTCAGTTCTGCCTTTCAGGCTTCCTAAAGAAGAAAAGAAGGGTGCTCCATCCCTGGAGGTGTTCAAGGCCAGGTTGGATGGGACCCTGGGCAGCCTGAGCTGGTGGGGGCAACCAGACTGTGGCAGAGAGTTGGAGCTGGCTGATCTCAGGTCCCTTCCAACCCAACCCCTTCTCTGATTCTATGATTCTTTATTCTGCAAAGGGCCTGAGATGAGTTTGAAATGTCACAGTGGTTTTCATCTGCACTTTGCAACTTCTTTTCTCAGTCTTACTGATAACATGCTGCAGGAAATAAGTCATGGCTTCATCCTACATATTCTAGGATGCGTTAGTCCTAAAACATCATCCTTATGGTGTGGCTTTACACATATTGCTTTTCAACAGCAAAGCTGCTCTGTGCCTGGCTGCTGAGCTGGAGCACTTCATCCCTGGTCTGGATGTCCCAGTGCAGCCAAGCAGCTGGATACGGGAATACAGAGGGCACAAATCATTGTATCCTGGCACTCTAAACCAGAGCTGCTGTTGCAGAAGCTGGAATTGCAGCCTCCCAGGAGGCAGTGCTAGGAGGAGGACAATGCACCCTGCACTCCAGTGCATGTCACTAAGAGAAAGCCAGGCAAGGAATGCAAAGCCAGACTTCCAGGAAAGTGTTGCAATCCTGAGTCCAGGCCTTCACTGGTAACAAACACTCGTGCTCTGCAAACAGTGACATAACACCCTGTTAACGCAGACAACAAAACAGGGATAGGTTCATAAGTGACTATGTTGAAAAATTGGTTTTTTTTTTAAGCTGAGAATTTGCTCTGTCAGATAGTGTTATTGTGCTCTTTGTAACTGCTGTAGTTTCCATGGAAATAATTAGGAAGCATTACTTTTGGAGCAACCAACATAATTGCACATGCACTATCCTGGTGCAAGCAGAGTCTGCACCAGGCAGGGACCCCCTGGCCTCCCAGTCCCTGCAGAAAAATGTGTGCACTGCTGTAGGGAGATGCCCATCCATCTGCCCTGCTGAGATCAGCACAGCTCAGGACAGCTGGAGGGAACTGAGGTGAATCAGCCTCTGGTTTGTTTCCAGCTCTGCTACATTTGTAAGAGCAGACCTTTTCTTGCAATATATTCGCAATAAGTTCTGTGTCAAACGGCAGATAGTGGAAATCATCCCGGTTCCCATTACTTCGGTGGCAGCCTACCCTGAATGCAACATTCAGTTCTGGGCCACATCATTACCAGGCAAAAACAGACAAGCTGGAGACAATTCAAAGAGCAGCTAAAATGATTTCAGGGTTGAAAAGATTGATTTATGAGGAAAGATGATGAATTAAGTATATATAGCTTCACTGAGTAATGACTAGAGCTACGGTTACTATGTTCAGGCAGAGAGAAAAGAATCATTTTGTGTGTAACAAAATGCGATGCTGAGGGAAGCATGATAGAAATGACAGAAGCGAAAGTCTGAGCTCATAAACAGGACAAAATCTCTGTGAAATAGTCTCCTAAAAGGCATGGAAAAAAACTCCTATCTTCTAACAGACATTTAAGGGAAAACAGGGGAAAATACAGTTATTCATCCAATTGCTTTCTTATCAGCCTATACCCCAAGAATAAATAAGTAAATAAATAAATAACGAGATTACTTTCTCCCGACTT